TGCAAGGGCATGTTCGACAGCATAAAGTGGGAGTAGAGCGAAAGGGAGTCCGGCAAGGTGAGGGAGACCGGGGAGACCTTCGTGGCGGCCACGTCGCCGACCTTGCTCTTTCGATTGGGCTTGAAGAAATCCTTCTGGGCCCTGGCGATCGATTCGCGGCGTGAGGGGGGGGGCAAGCCGAAATTCTTGGACTGCCTTTTCACCACATCGTGAGGGCTGATCTTGGAGGAGGCACTCTTGGAGTTGCTATTCTTGCGCACACGAACGAGATCGGGGTGCGATTCAAGGCTCCCACTTCCACAACGGGCGAAGGAGGCGATCCCATGGGTTTCCATTTGGATTTGTAATGAGTCCTCTTGGGTGCCAACACTTCCAGAACTTCGGGGCTCTTCTAAAGCAGAGATCATCGCTTTACGCTCGGACGTGGTATTTTTTTTGGAATGCCATACCCCGCTCAAGGTACCTCCGAGTTGACCTGCATTCGAAAGATGGAGCGCGCTATCGTTTACGAAGAATCCGGAATTATGCTTGTGCTTTCGTGTGGGGATTTTGCTCCTTCTAGAGAAGGTTTTGCGACCTTGTGAGCCCGAGGTATTATCTTTCTTTAACATCTCCGAGGGAGATTTTTCTAAATGTGATGGATAGTATGCACTTGCGGGCTGCAACATGTTTAGAGGGAGTTCGGATAGGCCGAGATCGATCTTCTGCTGTGTGCGAGCGGCGAGTAGAATAGCCGTTTGCACACTCTTCGGAGAGTTCTTGAACTCTATGCGGATTCGCAGAGACGGGATTGCCCATGCCTCAACGGTCGACTTTGCCTCCCAACCGCTTGGCCATTTGGTCATCAAAAGCCCCTCCCACCCGCCACCCACGGTACTGAGAAAGTATTTAGACTGGAGAGTCGGCAGCGGCGGGTTCAGCTCCTGCTCTTCATCCGGGGTTATAATGCTTGGGCGTGGGGCCGCAGCGCCCCCACTGGGAGCGACTTTAGACTGGGGCGCGGCGGTGTTTTTCGCCACCATCGAGCGGCTATGGTCCATGGCCTCACTCTCCTCCTCGTCCACAAAAGTGAAGTGGGGAAAATCCTCCCGCCTGAGATCGTTGGTTTGCCTACGGTTATCATAGCCCGCGTTCATTAATGACTGGGAAGCACCAAAGGTCATATTCCTTACGGCGGTGTTCATAGACTTCGTCCAGTCCACTAACGACTGATGGTGCGTTTTGGGCTTACCGTTTTTGTTGGTGTCCTTGTTGAGGTCCTTGGGGGGGTCCTCTTTATGGCATCCCCACGCTAAGGATGAAAAGTTCAACGTGTCCTCCTTTGGCTTCTCATTCTCCGCGGTCCGCAGCGGGGGCAGCGTGGTCAGCGGCAAGGTGGGAACGCGACTTTGAGAGCGAGGGTCGCGCAATTCACTAGACATCACCAAATAAATTTCCTTCACGTTCTGCGAGGTCTCGCACAGCGAGGTCGACCGACCGAAGACCCTTGGCTCCGCTGCCTTTGCCAGTGCGTGAATTGCGCTCTCGGGAAACTCACTCAGAAGAGGGGCGAAGCGCAGGCACATCGGATCTAGCCGCATATTGTGTTTTATCTGTTCCGTAAGCTTGGTGCGCATACCAACAAGAAGTAAAGGGTTGTCCAGGAGGGCGTTAATAAACTTCTGCCCCGGGATCCGAAAAAAGAGTGCGCAGCGGCTGCTCACGGTGCACTGGTAGCGCTGAACACTAGGCAAAATGTAAGGTTCCTCACCGAGAAGTGCATACCTGCCCTTGATTTTGAGGGTATAGAACTTATTCAGTGTAAGGGTTTGATAAGCACCACTTTCATATGAACCATCAGAACCTTTTACAGTGCGCCGGATCGCACCGTCAACGAGGCAATACACATCACCGGGCCGCTGCCCTTGTTCAAACAAGACTTGCCCACGTACCATAATAATCGGTTCAAAGTCATTTATATACCGATCAACTGGATACGTATTGGAATGAATTAGATGACGATAAATAGGAATATTACCTATACAGGTCTGAATAGGGTAGTTTTCGCGCAATAATTTTAGGTGATGCTCCTTCGAAGCTTCGAAATACGTCTGCAGCATCGTGTGACCCATGTGCTTCAGGAACACTGCCTCAAAATCTTCGGCGGAAAGGATCCATATAATGCATTGCGAGATGGCTTTATAAGTACCAGAAAAGGTGGCAGAACTTAGAAACACACCACCAAACGTTTCCTTGGAAGACAGGAGCCTTTGGGCAGCCCAAGCCTTGATGGAAACCGACTTATCCTTAGCGCCATGCACATTAACGCTGGTCGATTCATTATGGGTGTGGGTGCTGTCAGATGCTTTTTTCTTGTCGCCGCAGCTGCCGTCACCAGACACTTTTTGCAAGAACTGACACTTTCCAGAAATAAGAAAGTACAATTTATTTTGGCTAGAATCGCCACAATGCGCTATAACCTCACCAGGCATATATCGTACCCTAGATATGCGAAGGGATAGGTCATCTAGGAGTGCGGAAGAGTTAAACGAGGCCAAAAAGGGGGAGTAATCCCCCAAGTTGCTAATTGGAGCCGAATCGTCTTCGGTGTTATTGACTAGACTCAAGCTTTGTCTTATCGGGTGCATAATTTGCGGTGGGGAACTCGAGATGCCGGGCCTTGCCCGATCTTTCCCCAAGATGTTATGGTATTTCTCTCGACGATAAAGCAACACAGGGAGCATTCGTTTCTCCAAAACAGAACGCAGCCGCAGCTCGCGGTACCGCTGCGAGATCTCGTCCGTTGAGAGAATCAGAACCAGCAAGGACTGCCACATCATCGCAAACTTCAGAACGGCCGCGAGTTTGAAGGGGCTGAGGCCGAGGCCGCAGAGCCGTGGGCCCCCCCGGGCGGCCCCCCCGCCTTGTCCTCGGGGCGGCGCTCGCGCTCGGCGCCGGCGAAGGGCGCGGAGCTCGCGGAGGAGCGCCCGGTCAGGGG